ACAGCGGATCAGAAATCTGAATTTTTCTCTTAGTATAAATGCAAATGAAAGTAGTTACATCCTATAACAAATCAAGTAAAATTAGCATTTGAATAGGCTTCAGTAGAAAGGACATCTCCATAGTTTAGATGCTAACATTATCACAGTTCAAATTATTGTAATCAAGATACAGTCATTCTTCTCAAATCAGCTAGTGAGCAGTAGGGTGTTTTTTTTAGCCACATTCTTCCAGGCACACTTTCTGTGGAGGTATGCAGTGCAATATGTGTAGGGATTTTACTGCACAAGTACCTTCATCCCTTACATCCTACTCCATTCTTTTCTTTGAAATGAGAAAACTATAAATGTATCATCAAATTTATAGATTTCAAATATCTACGCTCAAAAGCATGGAATGGAGAAAATACTTGACTGTTGAACAATTTTGCTCTCTCACATTTCATGTGGCCAGGTTCATGATTGCTAAGATGTTTTTAATAGCTCTGCAATCTGGCCCAATTTTTCTAAAGGGTAAAAATGTACTTTTCTTTGAAGTATTCACCTACCTGATATAAATAAAACCTTTCATGAAGAAAAAAGTGTCCCCAAATGGAAGAGTTAATGCACCTCAGATGTGTGAGAAAATTACTTCCAACTATACAGTGTTTAGTAAAGTTTCTATCTTGTTTTTTCGTTGTAAAATTTGAGGAAAAATATTAGTGAAATCTCATATATCACTTTTTAAGTCAAAGCTAAACACCAATGCATTCTGATGGCTACAATGACAATTAAACTAACTATTAAACAATCTATTTGCCTTGATTTTGGCCTTCAGTCGGTGAAGTGGCTTCTCCCCACATGTATATTTGATGTTTACAAATCTTGCATTTTGCCTGAGTTGGCAAATGGATTCTGGCTGAGAAACAGCAGTAATCATCCCTAACTTAGGTATCAGGAAGTATACCTCCAATGATGTCAATATAAAATTTTCCTCAATGCAACGTAAGTCCATAAACTTCCAGAACTAGTCTAGGATCACCATTAACGGCAATGGTTCCCTACTGCCTGCACTTAAGCGTACCCTTCCCTATCTGGCTCCCACCTGCCTCCTCAGCCAGGTCTCCTCCTTCCCCAATATGTCATTCTTGTTTTGCCCAATCTGCCTTTGGACAAGTTTTTCCCTCTTTCCAAAAATGCCCTTCCCCTCTCCACTCTCCTGTCACACTCCTAATCACCCTTTATGGCCCTGCCTTGCTCAGATGTGTGGTCGGTGGGCTCCACCCACATTCCCAAGAGAATTCACTTCTCTCCCCTTTCAATTTTCCCAACAGATGGAGCTATTACATGAAATGTTAATGTAGCACTTCTGAGAGGCAATGTCTTCTCATGGCCAACGGTGAGGAGTTGGAAGACAGAGTTTGAATCCTGGTTCTATCATTTACTAGCTATGTGACCCTGGGCAAGTTACTTTAACCTCCATGAGCCTCAGTTTCCTCATCTGTAAATAACGATTTTACCTACATTACCACTTGCTGTGAGGAATGAATGTTCCTAGCATAGTGCCTATCACATTACGAGGGCTTAACATCCTCACATTACTATTAAATGGATGACAAAAGAGCACAATAATAGCAGACAAGCATATTACACTCTTGTAATGTAATTTGGAGTTGGGGGCAGTGGTTTGTTCAGTGGTAGAATTCTTGCCTTCCATGCGGAAGACACAAGTTCAATTTTTCACCAGTGTACCTCATCTCGACCTGTCTGTCAGTGGAGGCTTGCATGTCACTCTGATGCTGAACAGGTTTTAGCAGAGTTTCCAGACTAAGATGGATTAGAAAAAAAGACCTGGCAATCTACTTTCAAACACCAACCAATGAAAACCCTATGGATCACGACAGTCCGATCTGCAACGACCATGGGGATGGCTCAGGACCAGGCAGCATTTTGTTCCTTTGTGCATGGGGTCACCATGAGTCAGTGTTGACTCGACAGCAGCTAACAACAACAATTTGAGGAGTTAGCACTCAGATTAGGAGCTGAAAGCGCAGCCATCTTGAAATCATGTGGTGATTTCTTTAGAGAAAGCACGTGAGAACCGTCAAACAGTAGCAAACAAATAGTAAGCTCACACACATTCTCTCAAAGGAGCTGACAGGGGCTGCCTTTAGGATAGCTCACAATCCTAGGTTGTGACGCATGAGTTGAAAAGAAATTGGGTATTACACAAAGCCAAGAATGGAAGGCAACATGGAGAAATGCCATCATTTCACTGCAGTGGGACTCTGGGAGGGTGGAGACTCCCTTGTTACTCAAATGGTTGCAGTGATGAGGCACTTCTGTAGTGGAGAACAGCCAAGTGTCAGCTTAGATGAGCAAATTGCAAATTGAGAGCCCACCTTACTTAAAACTCCTTTCTACTATTTTTCATTTGAAATGTGAAATAGGGAAAGGGAAAAAACAAAACAAAACTTGTTATGGAATTCATTTCCTTCCAGGAGAGAAAATAAAAAAACAAATCACAACTATTGCCAGATGAACACCTTGTCTAAAATGAACGACAGATTTAATGCAATGCATCGCAAAATGCCGTTTGCAGGCCCTCTTGGCTGAGAAAAGCATTCAAATTTTATTTCCTTAAATGAATCTAACTATTCCCATGTGCATCTGCCTCTGACTAGAAAACGCTCTGGGTGCTTTTCCTACCCATTTGAAAAGAAAATTCACTTTTCTATTGCTTATTTTAAAACAAATCAGAAGACAACTGAGGCAGCAAATTAATTGAATGATCATTTACGCTCCCTGCATTATATGTGTCCAAAGAGTGAAGAGAGGGAAAAAAAAAACCTTGCATGTTTAGAAAAGATATTTAGAAAAAGTCTAAAAGTGTTCTTTAAAACTTTGCTCTTTGTTCAACTGTGCTGGGTTTTAAAAACCCCTGGATCAGCTTTCCATCGTTCAGGAAAGCAAGGTAGCAATTTTTCTCAAGGAATTGGCAGTGAAGTGTTCAAGTACACAGACCTTTCTTTCTGGCAGGAAGACTTGAGGTGGGGGGAGCCAAGAGTGACTAGAGCCAGAGGGGGCTGCTCAGAGCCTGGATTCCAGGCTGGTGGCAGCTTTTTACAGGCTGCCAACAGGAGTGTGGGGGCAGCAACTTGGGGGTGTGCCAAAGAAAAGGGGCCACGTGCCAAACGCCGGCACGTGCACTCTAGGTTGCCAAAGCATGGCATAGCCCCCAGACACACTTTTGATGTCCAGCCCCAGAAAGTAAGCAGGCTCGTTCCCACTTATTCCACAAGGATAGTGAGGTTAGATGCTTCCACATTATGAAACTCCCAGTACAGAAATTTGCCATTTGGCTTACATTCACTTAGTTATTTTTTTAGATTAGAGAAAGCCAGAGGGAGAGCATCAGCGGTTTAATATGCATACCTCTTAAACCATGTAAGCAGTTGCCCAGTCTAGGGGAAGCAGGTGATGGCTGGTTTTTCATATAAATGAGTTCCTGAAAAGATCTGGATGACAGATCTTAATGCGTGTTTTATTTTAGCCCTCTTTCTATTTGATTCTCTCTTCTAAACTGTAAACAATCGCTGGAATTTAGTTCAGCTTTAAAAGTGAGCCATGCAATTTCAGATTTAAACTTCTTAAATTTCCCCTCCAATTTCTTTTTACTGCTTCCACTATCCAAACTCTCAGCCTAAGACCTTGGTCCTACACAAATTATCCAAAGCTTTGGGCAGTCCAGGAGTGCTTTTACTTTTCACTGTTGTAGGAGGGAGACATTCTTTCCTTCCCTCTTCACTTAAAGAAACATAACAAGCCTGAATAGTCTCCACTAGACTGCGGGAGGGAGTGCTTTTCATTAGTTCTAGCATAGCTACTGACAAATGCTTGAAGACAATATTAAGAAAGAGAGAGAGAAAAAGAGAGAAAGAAAGAACGGAAAAAAGAGAAAGAAAGGGCAGATTAGTTGCAGTTTAATTTCTAAGAGGAGAAAATTATAGAATAAAATTATCTAACACTTCTCTCTTTTCATAGCACGTATTTCATATAAACTAAAATGACATCTGCAAAGTAACGTTATTCAGCAATCAGAAAGCAAAAATCCAAACCATTGATGTTTTGATGGAGACAAAAATTTACATAGCTATTCAGAAAGAGGAAAGCTGTAACCTATAGAAAAAAAAACACAAAACTTCCATATGCATTTTACCTTTCGGGCAGTTCCATAGCAAAGTTCTTTTTCAGAAGCCCTTTGTAATATGAAACTCACTGTAGATAAGATACAATGTGAAGATCGTCTGTTCTGCAGCAGCAGGAAATCAAATTGGTTCCAGAAATGAAGTTACATGACAAATGGTTTAATAGCATTGCTGGAATTGGAAGCTTGATTGAATTATTTTTTTTCATAATTGTTTATTAAAAATTGAAATAACTTTGAATAGCTGTGTGGATTTTTTGGGAGTGTTGCAGAGATGGAAGGCATCTCACTTTATTGACCTTTTTAACTAAACTGTTATAATTTGTTATTAGAATTTAAGAGCTCAGAGGCAATTTATTTTTAACATTTTGCCTGCAACAAAAATGCTCAGACAAACACAACACTTGGTTTAACATAACTAATATATTTTTCTTAGGATTAAACAAGTTAACACACATAGGTATATTTTATTATCATTTCCAAGTCATTTTTAGTTTTAATATCAGTACCAACCAGGCTTGCCTTACTTAAAAAGCATCTGGAAATATCCTTAAGTCTTAGGCAGGTCTTAGATTTTAGAAGGAGAGACTTCTAAATGGTTACCAAGACATATCACCGACAAAATCACCCAACAACTAATGCCTGTAGGTGAAATGAAATCATTCTTCTGACTTTAGTCAGGAACAAGTTAAATATCACTTGGACCACAGCACACGATTACAGAGATTTAAGGGAAATCGTACTTAAATAGGATGTGACTGGACGTTTAGGACTATTTTCTAAAAAGTCAAAAAAATTTTTCCTCTGCAGTACTTACAGTCTTTGAAAACCAGCGCCGGGTCTCTGTGAGGCAAGACTTGGGTAATGATGTGTCTCAGGGATTCCAAGGTTCTGTCCATCTTGGGTCTGCCTTTGCGCGCCTCCTGCACAGAGTGTCCTCATGCCTAAATTCTTGCAGTCCTGGACTGAATTTGTGCAGCTCATTGATGCACTGGATTACCAAAGAATCCCTTTTAACATCTGCCAATCAGACATTTCCCAGAATCTAAAGACCCCTCAGGGGGCCCTCCTCCCGGGCTCACTTATCTTTGTTGTATGCTGAGCTAATTAGCTTTAAAGGCTGGCTGACTGGCGGGTTCCCATTGCTTCCTTCTGTTAAACACACCCACCTACAGGCTGGCTGGGGAAGCTAGCTAATCATGGGAACAGCGCTCCTCTCCATCCAGGTTTTGCCTGAATGGTGTACAGCTTTCTGACTTGGGTATTTCTTTAGGCCCTCTATCTTCACTGTATTGCCCCAAGAATATAGAATCAAGGATATTTCTCAAGGAAATTTTCTAAGTAACAAAGGGAGAAAGTTCTCGGGACTCTCAGCTCTAAAGCAGTATAATTTAAATTCTCCTTTGGTGAAGGACGTAGCCAGGCACCAGATTATGCTTTCTATTTGAATTCAGGAGTGTCTCTCCTGAAGCCAAGTTGTGTCTCCCCCCGCAAATTACAGTCGCTTGTGATGGGCAGAGGTAAGTAAAACCTGGTGGATTGTTTTACAGCTTGCTTGGGAACATTTGTTTCCCTATTTACCCTTCAAGACAAATTATCCCTAAGGATGACTTTAATTAATTCTGATACTGTTCGTTTCTTTTCATTTCAAGATGATAAGTCTTTCTCTTAAAAACTTCAGAAGAGGAGAAGCAAAAATATATTTTCAAAATACAGGAAGTTATTAAAAGATTCTAAGAAATGGAGATTCTTTTTCCACATGTCCTGTACCATCCATAAAAATTTGCTAAGTAATCTTTCCTCAGAAGACATTATAAATAAGTCATCGTGTTCTATTGAAGTAATAAGGATTCTGACCAGATGTAAGGAACTGATTTTATGGTTGTAGAAGCCCTGTGGTGCAGTGGTTAAGAGCTTGGCTGCTAACCAAAAGGTTGGCAGTTTGAATCCATCTGCTGCTCCTTGGGAACCCTATGGGGCAATGACAAGGGTCGGGTTGGAACCTACATTAGTTATTGAAGGGTTGTTGAGGATTTCTTTACTTTTATTTCAATGTTTTTCCAGGGTAGGTAGAAGAGACTGTTTTCCAATGTTCCTTCCAACTTTTAGATTTCATAATTATACTGTATTTTATGATTAACTGAACCAGTTCTTTAAAGCGTATATAAAAATAAAAATGTCTTCCATGTGATCAGCTTCATGAGCTAGTTGGTAGAGGGGTAGGTTTAATGAAAGGAAACAGAAGGAACGAGGCTGTAATAATAATTCTTGTTTTAGTGACTATCACTTAGCAAACACCCACCGAGAGTATATACAACACAGACACATACACAGGGCTGCCCCGGAGTACAAAGACATTGTGATAAAATAGAAGCTGAAAGAAGTACCACTTCATATTAAGACACTTATTTAGGGTCCCAGACTGCACTTTACAGTTCTATAGGCTGTACCAAATAGGAAATAGTCAATTTCCTTGCCATTCAGGAGTTTATAATTTTAAACATAACCTAAATGGTTTGTGGACACAAAACAGTTGTATATTGATTGGACACAAAGTATAAATGCACACAAAGGAATACTTTCAGTGTGATACTGAATTGAAAACCAAGATATTTAATATATATTAATTATTTAATTATATTAGAGAACTGGGAGAAATAATATGGAACCCTCAAAGAAGTGAGACAGATAAAATAAGAGAACAATTGGAAATCATTGATGCTTAGATTTCAATCAATAAACAGACATTTCTACAGGCTTAAATTTACTTCCAGCAGTACTTAAAAATATTTTGGTTGTGTAGTGTGGTGGAAGGAACACTGGATTGGGATCAATAAGATGTAGGGTTTGAGTGTCCTTATCTCTGTAACTTGAGAAAGTCACTCATCTTCTCTGGGCTCAGAGTCATCATCTACAAAATTAGAGAGTTGAGCTGGATGCTTTCTTTCAGATCTAACATCTATGGTATTATGGCTACATTACAAAATGAGCTCAAATTTTATCACAGACTTTCCAGCCTTCTGGAATATCACATATTTACTCTTAAAAGCTGGACAAATGACTTCTATTCCAACAATCAACCTCTTATCCATTCATCAATATGAGAGACACAAATTAATATGACAAATTAAAAAATTGCTCACCGCTAATATTAACTACAACGAAAGGTAAGAATTTGTTAAGAAAGCTAAGCTTAAATCTCCACCAAGAGTTTTATAAAGAAGGCAAACTATGAGCATCTGCAGAGTAAACCCCAAAACAGCTTTGCAAAGATAAGCTTATATGCAAATCATGATCATTAATGACTTATATTTTAAAAAGTAAAAAAGACTACTTCCCAGCATGATGGATTGTGCAAAATTCCAGTCAGGCGGTATAGTTTCTTCTTTCCTACTAAGCCCAATCCTTCAGCAGAAGTGTTCTGAAGCCTTTGCTTATGTATTTCTTGTCTGCCCATAAAGATTTCTTGCCTTAAATTACTGTTATAAGACAGTTTAGAAAAGCAACCATGTGGTTTCTCGCCATTCTCTGTCTTTGAGGTAGAAAGCATCTGATGGAGATGGAAGCGTCTGAGAAACCCCTGTGCAGTATGTCTATTTTAGTACAAATTCGAAGTTCACATGCTAGATGTCCCTTTAAACCGTAACCATCTGTAGGTGTATACCAAGAGCAGAAATTACAGTATTGAAACAGGGTAGATAACTCCAGTGAAAACCAAAGTGGTGGTTTTTACAGATCCTTTCAGAGTACTATTCAGAACTATAAGAAAGGGCATCTAACTGACATAGTCAATGATCAAAATTACCACCTGAAGGCTCAGCAACACTGACCAAGCTTCCAGGGGGTACAGAGATCTTTGAGAAGGTGAGAAATGCAAGGTGGCATATTCTCCACAATGCAACAACAACAAAAATCTATAAAAACAATCATTTTGCTGGTAAGGAAGAGAAAATGCATTCCTGTCATTTCAATAGCACGTTTGTTTGGTAGCTAGCTCTTAAAAGTCATAAAAATGCTAAATGTTAAAATAACATCCAGAATGTTAGAAAACATAATGTATGCATCAAAGAATCATCTTTCGTTAAAAACAGAAGGAAGCGCCTCCATTCCCCACCGCTCATGCCATAATTCCTGGGTGAAGCGGCCGCAGCAGGCCAGGCAGGAAGTGGGCTTGTGGGTGAGCTGCAGGTGAGGTAGGTGAGACTTCAGGTCCAGAGAGATTTCAGCTAAGGCATACAGACTGCAAGGATTTTTTAAAAAGCCATTTTGGTATTTTACATTGTAAGTGTAGTTCATCTTGATTCTGACCCATCTTTGCAGGCTAGGCTGTTTGAGTACTGCTTGAATCCTGTGACTGAGTCTTAGCTATCCTTCCCAGATTTAATTATGGCTTACCATACCAGTTGCCTTGGAGTCAACTCTGACTTAGGGAGACCCTATGTGTGTAAGAGCAGAACTGTGCAGCATAGAGTTTTCGGTGGCTGATTTTTCAGAAGCAGATCACCAGGCTTTTCTTCCAAGGAGCCTCTGGGTGGATTCAAACCACTAACCTTTTGGTTAACAGCCAATAACGTAAGCATTTGAGCCACTCAGGGACCCCCTCCGAAGAATAGCCTGCAGTAACTGAGCCTGAGCCAATTTACAATGACCCTCCCTAGGGAATCAGGTGACTGCTGGGAGGGAGAGGACCCTGAATTAGATTTAGGATGATTCTCTTCCCTGAAATAATTTCTTCATTTATTTGCTAATGCCTTCATTCTTAAAAATGTACAAATTAAGATAAAATAGTTGAGGTTGTTAACCAATGTCATAAAACAACATGTGTACTACTGTTTCATGAGAAACTATTTGTTCTGTAAGCCTTCACCTGAAGTACAAAAAAAAAAAA